CTAACCTAACCTAACCTAACCCAACCTAACCTAATCCAACCTAAATTTCTTCCAGAGAAGGACAGTTATTCCAATTGTCAAAATAATTTGAAATTTCTTCATCTTATTCACAAGAGCCCACCACAGGTTCATGTCTTGACTTGGGCAACCCAGAGCAACCCTTATAACCTATTTCTTTAAGACGATCTCAGTCCTATACTCCCATCTGTTTTTAGGTCTTCAGAGTAGCCTCTTACTTTCAATTTTTATATTTTAATTTTTTATAACAGGCATTTAAATACGATTCATTTACAGAGGTTTTGCTGTTTTACTTTTCACAGTGTGTCTAAGTAATTTATCCTCAGATATTGGTAATTATTGTCTGAAATTCGTTGAGATTGTCATTTAAGTGGGATTCGCCATTGTAGGTATTGCCGCCAATGTAATTCAAAGCTTCAGTTCAACGATAAAATAATTTTAATAATTAAAAATATGTTTCTATTTTTTAGATGTCTATCAGTCAAGGCACGACATCCACAGAGCTATCTACGCTCCACTGGGTACTCAGTGGGAGCTCCTACACCCACGCCTATGTCCGAGGTGGGTTCTGCCACATTTAATATCGTATCTTTTTCACAAAACAGGATTCGTGTATTTTCAGAGACAAGAATCGTGACGAGATCTGGATCATATAATGAATAATTTGTCTAATTCTCATATTTCTACCAACTTTCCAAGTCAACTGTTTTCGTCCTCAGATTGGATGAATCTAAGAAAATTTCAGTCATTTTCTTAGTCTAAAGCGGCCCATCCACGTACGAGTCTGGCTCGGCGAGCTTGATTCGTGAGCCGGGTTCGGATATATTTCACCACACGTAGATAGAAGACCCCACCCACAAACGAGTTTGGCTCGATGGAACCCGAGCCGAGCCGGACTCGTGCGTGGATGGGAAGCTTAAAACTTTAATTTGAACCAAGTAGCTCCACTGAGGAATTCCGTACAGTGTAAATGTTTTCTATTTGTGCCAATAGATGTAGAAATTCTGTTTGAATGTTTAACGAAGAAGGATTTTGATGCAGCGGAAAGTATGAACTCGCGCAACGGAAGTTATCTGTCAGATGCAACGGAGCTGAGATTAAAGGCAGGGCTTCAAATATATGCATGGCGTGAATTGTTGATGTCGTAATAAAACTGCATTACGAATATTATAAGATTATGTATTTTTAACGTGAAAATTTATTAATCGAATGATTACGAAACAAAGAGTTTGACTGTCATGACCACACAAAAACAAATGATGGCTTGTAGGCATCACTGACTGGGGTGGTGTTGCAGGGCAGGTGCCAGCTAGATGCCAGCCCTCCGACCCGTACTCAACATTTTTCACTCAAAGTTTCCTGTCCTCCTTCCCCTGCGTGCTGAGCCCCGTGGTTCTCGTTAGGCTACTCCTGCATCGACTTCTCACGACAGCCGCTCATCTGCAGCGCTGGAAAAGCTGTGCTTCTCGCTCGAGCTTTGCCTCCGCGTCTGCCCACGAAGTTCCACGAAGTCCACGTAGCAGAGCCTCGTCCACGGACACTGAACCCAGCTCCCTCAGGAAGAGGAGAAAGGTCAGTATTTAAGGTAGTCTTCATAACCTGTTCTGATTGAAATCGAAATTACGTGAAGATTCCAGTTTTCGTACGTTCTTACCAGAGATGTTAACCAATAAGAGTTCTGTTCATCTTTAATACAGTTTTACGTGACAAGAGTTCGAGATTGTTGCGTGTGTCAAGTGACATTGCATTCGCGGATGAATACTATACTCTTTAAGTTAAAGAAATACAGTTTCTCATGTTATCCACTGTATTATTTTTAATGTTTTTTTAGCCATATTCGACAAGAAATGTTTAGCCAATGCGACCCACATTAATGAAAATCTTGCCGACTCTTACGTTACGGCATTTGCTATCATAGAGTGAAAAAAGGCAACATAACCTCAACAGTCGCCATGTTCCCCTGCAGTGAAAAGTAATCGCGCTTTATGATAAAATCGACTTATTTTTCCCACCGAGTTTTCACATCAAGATTTGGCATCTTACAGAATGTTAACAATACAGTAAAACTAAAGAATTTTCGCTCGTATTTTGGATTGATGAAGAAGAAACCCGTCGTATTTATTTGTTAAGAAGAACCTCTTAACCGCTGACGACCACTTCCTCCGTGTCCACAGGTTAACCTGACAGTGGACTGCTCTGGCAATGATCCGACCGGTGTAGGTGATGACCTAACAGCCGTAGGCCGAGCCCGCTCGCTACAGCGACCACCACATCATCAGGTCGACCGTTCGACGTCCTTGGTGCCCCGGGACAGTGTGAGTAGTGTGTCAGGCCTGGGGCTGGAACCCGCCGTACAAGCCACACTGTTTGCCTTCTCGCATCTTCTGCGCGGCGCCCCATCCCGCGAGAGCCTCCAGAGTGCCCCCAGCAGTGACGGTCGTAATACTCCGGTACCAGGATCTCCGTCAGCAGTGGTAAACTTGCCGATTATCAGCCTCCACCAACACCACAAACCCCGGGCATCTTTCCGATTCTCGAGTGTGAGACACAGCAACCAGCGAAGGTCCAAGTCACAGGCAAACATCGCGAAAGTGTCCCACAACGAGCATCGTGACACGCCAGAGCAAGAGATCCTGGCGTTTCAAAAGCAGCTCCAAAATCTTCCAGACTTTGACTCCCCGGACCATCCGACGAGTGGTCCAGGGTTTTCAGATCCCGCCACAGCTGCCGCGGAGTTCCTTGCCAACAGACCGTACCTCCGCCCAAGGTCTCGTTCCATGCCTCGAGTCACTTACGAGTCGTCGCGGTACCTCACGCTCCCGGAACTTCCGTGGCCTTCTTCCGGCGGTTCAGGTCGGATGCACCGCGGCAGGTCCGCGGGAGCACTCGGTCTGCAGCCGGAACATCACGGGCCGATGGCCGTCAACAGCCCAGCCACGACGCCGATAGATGAGAAGGCGCCCCCTGTTTTGGGGATGGCAGGGCAATCTGTTCCGGGCACAGCGCCCTGCGCACCGAATAGTCGGCGCAGTAGCCTCTCACCCTCGGACCGCACGGGCAGAAGACGGGACAGCCCTGCCTGTATCGTGGTGGAGATTCCACCATGGCACCGGGCCATCCTCAACTTCATAGAGGTACGGGCATGTCTTCGTCAGATAGAAGAATATTCTAGCTGTCATTGTGGTAGCTTCACGTGCGGTCAGAATCATCAAATAATAATTTTATTTCAGAATAAATTGGACGTAATTAGTTACGTAGTGTGAATCTTGGTCTCTCGTGCTGAAAGAACTTTTATACATTCACGTGGTTTCAGACGACGACGCTGAGAAAATTACCCAATTCAGTAGGAGACTCTTCTTTTCTTGTCCTTGTAAGGTTATATTGCATATGCGTCTTCCTGCAGGAATGGTTACGATTGTCTCGTGTAGAACTGGACAGGAACGCCCCCCTCTGTCGAGAACTGCGTGATTTCCTCACCAAAGTGTCTTCCTGTGGCGCGCCATACCAGCAATGGTGCGCCGAACTTCGCCAAGAATTCCCCGCACTGGTAAGTTGTAATACTGTCTCGTTGTTTCAATGACCTAAATATTCAAGTAGTTGCCTACGAGCTATATGACCAAGCTCACACACCTTAAGGCTACTGGCAGAATATTTGCTTGTCTAAAATGTAAATACCAAGCTTTTGGGACCCATCCAGTATCCCAGGAGATTTTTCACCGGAGATAAACCGACTTAATCGTGTCGCTAACTACTAAGCTGTATCTAATGGCGAGATGTAGAGTGCAAGTAATATCTTTTGCCTTGTAATTGGTTTGCTTACTTCATTGATTGGTCTGTTGGATACGTGTTTACTTGCTTATTTGGTTGATTGGTTGATGGGCCGATTGATCAGTTGATTGGTAATATGCATAGTCAGTCCATTAATTATTTACTTAATCAGTCACTTCCTCATTTACACGGAAGTTTCTGCTGTTATAACCTCACTGGGGTTGTTCGTTCTTGTTGCAGTCACGTGATCCTGACTTGGAAAGTAGCGACGACGTGGAGGTGACGGACCGGGAGTACTGCCAGGTACTGTCGCCATCTGTTACCTTGCATGTGAACTAGTTGAACATAAATGATACAGTGTGTGCTTCGGACGTAATCATAAAAGGATTCATAACCTCAAAAGCGCTGGTTATTTTAGCAATGGTTTTCGGCGTGTGGGACGTAAGTCGTATAAAAATTGTTCTGTTTGTAATTGTTTATATAGTGACAGATTTTAAACTAGGTTTAAAGGTCAGAGTTGTATGACGTCTGTAGACTTTAGGAACATCATTAATTTTACGTGGAATCGTACTTATTCCCCGTTAAAACACCAGCAAAGTTCAAAGCCAGCCTTTGAAAGAATTAAACATGATTTACGGGAGGTAGTTCTGCAAAAGGCTTTGGCGCCCGCAGGAAAAACAACATATGTTGTTAAAACGAAATTCTGTGTTGAATTTTCGTCATAATTGTGTAAAGCTTGATTCGCCGCCAAAGTGTACCGAGTATATCTTTCATTTAGGCTACAGATTTGTATTCATTTATCTTCTCACCATGCCGTGCTACATGCTCATCCCATCTCCTACTTGATTTGATCATCCTAATAGTTAGTGAACAGTACAAATTAAGGACTTTATCATTGTGTAATATTCTCCTTAGCACGCAGCTACGCGATTGTTTGCCAGACGACATAAATATCAGTAAAATGTTTACAAACGTGAAAGTCGTATCACATTCAGATCTGCGGTAATATGAACTAAGTTGATGTCAGTGATGTGGGCGGGTGGTGAAGACGGAAGGGGACTTCAACAGCGGAGACAAATGTAGTGTAATGTTCAGCGTGTTTCTGGAAAGATTTGTCTCACGTCACAGTGAGGCGTGTGGCTAGCTGTCCTTCGGGCGTAGTGGAAGGAACCGCTGATATTGACTTCAGTGTCTCTGTAAGTACTGCGTGCAGTCTAGTAAAACAACTGCATTCGTAAGCATCTACGTCATAATCCTAAGCGAATATTTATTATTACCTGAACAGTGTTGATATTTTAATAATAAGACCAGTGCAGAACCAAGACATATGCTTTTGTAATGACATACCAGCAAACATAGGAATTTATTTCAGGAGTGCGTTCGAAAATAAACTTAAAAATTAATTTCCTTTGTGTGGAAACTTAACACAGCCTCTCAGTCGTGTTTTAACAGCAGAAGAATGGTGATTATAACAGATATTAAAACAATTTTTTGTGTGTCGAATCCTGTCCAGATTATTATAACCCTATTATAGATCCATTTTAATATCAAGCCTTATAATTTCATCTGCGCCAAGGTCTTCAAAATCGGCCTTTTACCTTCAGCATTTCTGACTTAAATTTTATCGTGTATACAGAATAATTATAAGTCCAGGAATATCCATAATTTTCTGTTTGTTTTTTATTTAACACTTCACACTTACGAAATGTGTTGTGGGTTAACAGAAAACTCCCGTAAGAGTGGCCAATAGAGATGATGGTATACAGACGCCCAGCATGGAGAGCGTAATAAAATATCCCACACTTAACACGTGTCTCGACAAAACAGATTCAGGAGCAGTAAATCCTACTGCATAGAACACTGTACACGTGTGTCAGCATAAAAGCACATTCCCTACAGCGTTAACTGCAGGGAAATTCCACAAATTCGACATTTCTCATCAGTCTTTTTTTTTCTCCGAAAGCTTTCCATGGGCGTGACAATTTGATACGCACCATTGAATATCATATGAAACCAACAACTCCACCGGACCTCCAGACACGAAATTCAATACTGATTTCCAGTGACCTCAAAACTTCAGAATATAGAATTGGCTATATTCGTAGATCGTGTGTAGCAAGTACCCCGCAGATAGTGGACAGTATGCAACACATTCCTGTGGTAATGAAGTTCTCGTGTTACGTTATAAACAGAGGTTAATTATAATCCTATTCACGATATTTATAATGTATAGGTTCGTGGTATTCAAATCGAAGGAGGATATGACATGCATTGCGCATGGAGGAAACAACAAATGCATACAGTATTTTTTTGTCGAAAACCCTATTACTTGAACATAGATTTAAGGAAAGTGACAGTTGTGAATTACAGTTAGTTCTCAGCAGACTATAAACCATGGAGTTCATTTCACTTAGATATTCATCCTGAGACTAAACTAATAATGTGGTGGCCCCAGAAACTTTTCCATAGAACCGTTGCCTAAAACTCTACAGTCATTTAATCAGCAGCCGAGTCTTGATTTGTTGCCACGAAACAGGGGAAAATATGAGCTGCAGTAAAATAAGCAAGCTGGGAAATAATAAACACATTAATCTTTTTAATGTATTTTCGTTTAAATATCGCATAGAGGCCATTCTCCCAAAGTTCATTTTCCTGTATCACTAAAAAGAAGAAAGTTGGGTCTACTTTTCTGTCCGCGACGATTACTCATTAAATTTGTCCTTTATTTATAATGCGTTCTATTATTTTGTAGTACGTTAAGGTGATTTCAGATTGGGGGGATGTTCATAAGATTGTATATTAAGGTAATGTCGTGGCAATGAGATGGACGGCCTGAGGAAATATAAGAAAACATCTGTTAGGATTATAGCCTTCTGCAGACTTCAGTAATCTATTTAGAGGCTCCGTTACCTGGTTATTTGAACTGAATTTCAGTTGTCTGTACTCATTTTACCCACATTTAATTTATTTCTCCTTTCGTACTTTTCATTTGTTCTCTTCTACGTGCTATATGCTTTTAGAGAATCCACTGCCTTCCAGAAATATTCCTTTTAGCCCCCCAGATGTGACATAATGATAATAATGAGGTTTAGCTAAATGTTGCTCATGCAGAATGAAATATTAATAACCATTAAACTAAGGGTGAATTTAGTTTTAATTTGGTAATTATGAATGTATTAATATCACAAACACAAAATTGATTATTGTTTTATAAATGTAAATAGAAGCATTTTATACAGTCGTAGAATTTAAAAAAAGACATCGTCACAAATCAAAGATACCTCCTGAGAATTCCTAGTCGCTGATACTAAAAGAAACTTGCCAGTAGAATTCTGTATTAATTATACCCGTCTCCCACACAACAAATCCCCGGAAAATCAGTATTAATGTTATCCTATCATCTTCCCCGTCTTCCAAGTGGGCATTTCCCATTAGGTCTCCCCACAAATATTCTGTACGTATCGTTGCCTCTTAAATTTTACTATGGTAAAATTTCTAATCAATTTGTTTATATCATGAAATTCCTTGTTATTGATACGCAATTACCGAAATTGTTCGCTTACCTTCTCTGTTTTAGGCCTAGATACGTACTTATAATTTTTATCGGATGAGAGTACTTATAAATATTTTCAGAGAAAAAGACCGTATTTCATAACCATACTAAACAATCGTCAAAACTTAGTTTTCAATTCCTGTTCAGCGGTTTTTAGATGAGAAGGGATGATAATTTTTGAGCCGAATAATGAAATTTGGGCCCTATTTCTAGAATTTTTTTTCTAGTTTTATTAGGTAGTGGGAATATCAAAGAACAAGAAGACGGAACATCTCCACACTTGTTTTCGTTCACCACCTACGTTACGTTTACACATACACTTATTTCTCGTCGTTTTCTGAGGATATATTTAGAGATATTTGAAGTTTCTTGTAAATCATTTTGGTCCATGTATCAGGGTTCATGAACTCGCGAACTCTACGTTTTATGATCTATATATTTGTTTTAAAGTGACATTAAAACCCTTTTGTATAAGACCAGAAAAGATGACATTCATTCTGTAAAACACTTCGGCCTCAACCTGTCTCTCTAACCGCCATTAAATTTTACTAAAGCCTTCGAGAGAATTAAACGAAACAAATTATGATAAATAAAGCAAGCAAATACTTCCGACGGCGTCCATTAAAGCTGTCAAGAGTATAAGTAGATAACACTAAAATAGAAAGTGCAAGAATTAGAAGCGAAATCCCTGAATCGATAAATCATAGAGCAAGGCAAGTGTATCCTTCATCCTTCATCAAACGCGTTTTCATGTGTTTTTCGAAAGGAGGTACTTGCTGCCTCCATAATCGCCCTGATGTTGGGGGCTTCAGATACCTCTAAAATGTCAAGAAACGTCTTCCAGACTAAACAGCACTACAACCCGCCACCGTGAAATTTCCAATTCGTACTTACAAATTATACCAGTTAACTAAGGAGCTGAAATTCTAGTAATAAACGCAGAACACTAAAGACAATAAACGATAAAAATCACGGTTTGACGGGATTATGACTCTCGTTTAATTTCGTATCTGCAAAATTATTTTTGTGAAATCCATATTGATATTATTAGTTATAAATTTGTTTCCGCGCCAAACTTCTGCATTAATTTCTTGACTCCCCGTCCAAGCTGTCCGTCTACCTCAGCGTAATCTTGATTTGACATTGTATTCACAACCTTTCTATTTTTACGTTGCCTTCTCTCTCTTTTTCTTCTCTTTCTTACTTCATTATCCATCTCTTTTCTTTCTTTCCTTCTTTCATCTCTTTCATGGACAGACCATGGGTCCGTTTCTTTCTATTTTACGTTGTGGTATCAAAATATTAAACCTGTTGAGATTATTTTAATTGTATTATAATTACATAATCGAACTCAGAATATACATCATACATTATTATGATCTGTGTAATTCGTTTTCTTATTCCGATTGCATTGTTTAATGTGACAGATATGGACTGGATTAAACTGGCTTAGAACAATTAAAATGCCGATTCTGTAACAACGGAGGTGACTCGACCAGGTAATTAACTATCAGTTTCTCGAGTAAAATACTGTGGCATGAGTTTAGACAGCCAGTTAATTGATTGGCTGATGGTATGGAAAGATAGTTCTTCGTTAAGTTAATTTTGGCATGATTCAATTTGGAAAAGTCTACGAAAAAGTTTCAGCAGCCAAGTGTTTGACCTCTTTGCTTCTTGAGATGGTTAAATTGCTTTGGCTTATTAATTTCTCCCGTTCATTCATTATTTTTCTTGAGATATTGCATACACG